TCTTTTATATAAAGCTTATTTTCTTAAATATCCTTTAAGCTACTAGTAAGAAAAAAGGATCTCAAAATACATGATAGATGCACTTTAAAGCCACATCTTGTGATGAATGAACAGAAAACCCAGATTTGTTACTGTCAGCCCACAGAGTCACATTTTCTGTTGCGCATGTAGTGATAAACAAAACATTTCAGAAAAAAAAGACTTCTCTAGAAATCCAACTCTTTCTCAAAAAAAAAAAGACTATTTAAATTATGTGGAACCCTTTGAAGAAATACCCTTTCCTGTCTTTGACTGCCTACTACCTCTCAGCTGGTCACAGCCAGTTTTCTAATACTGCGCTCTCCCCATCTATTATTCCTACAATTACTACATATAATTCTCATCAGTCATCTTCTTCTGATGTCTCCAACTAGAACTGGCCAAATTATTTCTGCAAATAATTATCCAAAATTACCTTCAAAGTTTTTCATCAGATGCTTAGGTGAATTTGCTCATGAAAGCATATGCATTTCTTATGCATAGCTACCCCTGCATTTTGCCTGACTTTAGACTAACACAGCTAACTACCTGCATCTCTCTCTTCAAATTGTTGTTATTAATAAGCTTGTTAGTCAGAAATATCCGAAAGACATATGCATGATTTTTCAGTCTTCATGATTTGGTATGTACGCTGTTATTGGTCACCTAAGTCACATAATACTGTTTCTGTTCTGTTCCCAGACGGCATGAACTTGATTTCATTTTCCTGTTTGCTGGTTCTCTGTGAATAATCATAATTGTGCAATGAAGCCTTTTCCAAAATGGCACTTCCTATGCTACAACTTTTACATATCTATTCAGACCTCACCATGCTTTTGCTGTGTGCAGATGTTCTTGCAAAATAAATCTCACTAGCTCAAATGTTTGCAAATAAGCAAATTGAAAGGGGTTGCAAAAATCAGAAGCAAGTCACACCCTCTGAAAAACCCTTCTCAAGTATTTTTTATGGTGATTGTGTCTATTTTTAAACCCAATACATTATTTCAGGAGATTTACAAGCTTTCAGCTGGTCCCATTATTCTATTTTCCTTTTGCAAACTGAGACTTTTGAAGTCAGAATCATGTTATGAATTCTTGATCATCCAAGCAGTCCAAGCTTGTGAGATGTGCGCTCTGCCAGTTTCATTGCAATGTTTGGGCAAAATATAACATTTTTTTTGCTTACAAGGGTATAACCAATAACCAGCAGTTATATTTACAAATGATTCTTTGGTTTAAAGGAAAAGATTTGTGCTTCAATAAGTTTCTAAAGAGGATTGCAACATAACTGATCACAAGCATTTATTTCTAGTGTTAACGGCTCAAAAAATAAACAATAGGAACTTGCAAGACCATCCACCAGGAACTGGATGCTGAGTTTCAGTAATCTTAGAACCATCAGTTTTCTAAATATAAAATAGACCAGTGAAAGCTTTTCTTTCTCCCTGCCTTTCACTCTCTTGTTTTTCCCCACCCCCTTTTCCTCCCTTCCTCTCATTTTAGTTCAACTGGATATCATAGTTTTTGGGTCTCATAGAGTAAAAATAGACATGGCATTTGAGGAAGTTCTGACTGATCCAAACCAAAACTTGAGAGCTGAAAAACCTGAGACGGGTATGGCTTGTCTCTGAACTGAAAGGCAACTAACTTGAATTAGATTTGATTGTCCGGGGGTGGAAATGTTACCTTGGATTTTTCTGGGGTAGTTAAAAAGTATGTCTTTAGGATCCCAGGATAGAAGGCTTTGTCCCAAGAGAAATCCCTTGTCTATTTTTACCCATGCATTGGTATTAAACAACAGTAATTTGAGATGTAATCAGGACAAGTTATCTACCTGTCAATATTTTGAGGGTAATCGTAGGAGACTCAGATATTTCAGTCTCAAAAATCCCAGAGGTGGTATTGCCCAGGTAGAGAGGCAGTCTCTTAAGTTAACCAGATAAGAAAGGCTCGTTTCAGTGTTTTAGGTTAATGGCATCGCTTTGAAATGATACATGGAAATGTAGAGGGAGCAGAGAAGATTGTGGAACACTTGTGTAATGCTTGCTCTATGTGGAACATCACTTAATGAGAAGCATACTTACACTGTGCATTCAGGCATTTTCCATGTGGTCTCAAGAAGCAGTAGAACACTTTTCTTTAGATTAATTTCCAGGTAACAAAGGTATGGATAACTATAGTAAGCTCTGCATCTAAGAATGTATTGATAGCTACTGTGATCCCAGAGAGCATAAGAAAGAATTAGTTATATAAAAAAAAAAAGCCTTTGGCCACAGCTACCTGATCAGCAAGTAGTTGCTCTTAAACAAATAAAAACACCAAGCTGCAAATCTTCTTAAGTAACACATGGAAGATCCAATCATTGTTTGGAGATGCAAACATGATCCCTTGCAGTTCTCACTGTTTTGCCCCTTTAACTGACTACCTCAGTACAATCTGTACTGGGCTTCAGATAGGAAACTCTAGTCTCACATGGATTTGAATGCAGGCTCTTCTTGGCTTCAAATCAGTTATATTGTTTTCAATTAATACAACATAACAGTGGAGAAAATTCACTGCTGTTCACAGAAAGCAAATAACATGAAGCTCTTTAAGGTCTGTGTATTAGCATTGGCATGTTTCAAAAATAACTGCTGAACTCACATCATTTCAAAAAGCATAGCAGCACTATATAATTAATTATGACAGCCTTTCAGACTTCTTTTCTCCTAAATTATCAGTGTTACTTGAAGGCCAGAAGAACACCATGGAAATAAAGGAAGGGAAATATAAGAATGATTCTTCTGGGGTGTCTATGTCAATCCTAGGTCCATAACAGCCAAACTTTTAATCAAATAGGAAGGAGGAAGAGCTGTAAATAGAAATAGATAGGAACTTTTTCCCATCATATGAACATTTCCAAGTTCTTCGAAAGTTTCTCATTCTGCAATGGGACGAAACCGAGACCTCTCTTGGAAACAAACAGAGATAGCAAGCCATAAAATTTCCTTTTCCGTCTCCCCCAGGATAATCTGATGGTTTAGATCAGTGGTTCTGAACCAGGGGTTCATGTACCCCCAGGGGGTACGTGAGATATATTTCATACATTGTCTAACACAGGTCGAAGGGCCTAAAAAAAATTAATTTCCCATTGAAAGGGGGTACATGAAGTCTCACTCTGAGACCAAGGGGTACGTCAACTGAAAAAGGTTCAGAACCGCTGGTTTAGATGGTGGTCTGGGTTATAGAAAAGCCAGGTTTCTATCCCACCTCTCACACTCTTGCACACTGAAAATGAATACTCTACATATATAATCCATTGGAATGAGGGCTTAGATTTAGGTTTCCCCCTTTCAAAGTAAGTGTCCCAAACATCAGCCAGTTTTGAGGACGATGGTCTATTTCTTATTTTGAAAATAATTTCTGACCTAGCTCTCAAAAATCCTTCCCAAGAAAACTTCTGTCAAAACTGGTAACTTCCTGAAAAAAACTGAATCTACATCAATTTGACACTTTGCTATGTGACCCTATTTTGGACTATTAAGCTCATGTCTTCATTTTCTTATGATGATGCAGACTGAATAAGTTCACGGGAAATATGGGTTTTAGGCTGCCCCTTGCTTGCTTGCTTGCTGGTTTCTGGCCGGCTATATTTTCATGACTTAGACACAGGTATGTATTCAGAACAGACATGCATATGTAGTCACTTATGTGCCCAGCCAGCACATAGCCTATTGCACATTCTCAGTCTACACTTATATGTCTATAGTGCAGGAGAAGTAGAATTGCTACCTGCACGTAAGTGCCAAAATGGCACTTATGGACACGTCTGTGTGCGTTTGCAGTAGCAAAAATAGTAGTGGCACAAATTGTGCCACAGTGCACACCCTTGCCTGTGACGCATTGTCTCACGGCTCCATGTGCTGCAGGGGGAGCTGGCTGGTGCACACGGAGTCTCAGTGTGGGGCTAGCCAGCAGGCAGCCCCACCACTCCCCGTTGAGGCACTGTGTTCCCCAGCCAGCTGGGGAGCAGCACGTGGAGACAAGGGAGGTCCTTCATCTCTGTGCAATGTGGAACCCCCCACAGAAGCAAAAAAATTTTTAAAAAACCATGAAAAAAAACAAAAAAAAGGCTCAAAGTACACCGAAGTAGTATGAGCTGGGACAAATGCAGAGATGGGGGAGCAGGCAGTCCTGGACTACCTGCTCCTCTGTCTCCACATGCTGCACTGTGGTCCTGTCTCGAAGTAGTGTGCCTCAGCCAGTCGGGAAGGCTGGCTGGGGTGCAGGGTGCCTCAGCAGGGGATGTGGAGACAGGGTGGAGGCACAATTGTCCCAGCTCATACCACTTTGGTGTGCTTTGAACCTTTTTTTATTCAGAGGGGGTTTTTTGCTTCCAGGAAATCCCGTTAGCAATTAGCAGCACCATACACAGCTTAATGTGCCAGGAATGTGGTTTGTGGTGCCACAAAAAGGTTAGGGGTACCACAAACTGCACGTGCCTGCATGTCTGGATCTGGCCTATGTGGCTAGAAAGCTGCCATTTATCCTTGGGGAATGCCCATGCCACTTGCCCTCTGGCACATGGCAGATTACACTGGGTGGGGTAGCGGTAGCTGGCCCCAGCAGCCTCCCCGCGGTGTAAGAGGAAGCTGCAGCCATGGCACTCCTGCTCACTTGTTCCTGGTCATTAATAATTCCAAACAAAAGGATCCTAATTTCTTTTATTCCACATTTTAAAACAGAAAAAAAGATATAAGCTCATCTAGTTGGCTCTAGGTCAGGTTTCTAAAGGGATTTAGGAACATAAATATGCAGATAAATACTTTGAAAGATTTTCAAATGGGTCTGGGTATCTAACTCTCACTGATTCCTGTATCTGTAAGTCCCTAAATCCTTAAAAATTTGTCCCTAAGAGCTTTGGATTTTATATTTCTTAATAACTTTGAAGTCTGCTAAAAGAAGTGCATTTTACAGCTCTTTCTGATGGATGCCAAACTTACTGTAAGACACGACTCCAGTGGGAGTGCATTGCAGAGGTGAAGGTCCTGGTTTCAGCTGTGCTAAGTTTTGCCTTTGGGAGAATAAGAACAAGGTTAGAAATGAAGAGCCGGACATTTACTATCTTGTAAATACTGACTAGCGCTTTCTATTTTACCCAGGGGCCTCCAAGCAGTGAGTGAAGAGAACAGAGCACAAGCACAAAATGCTTGCAGTGGACAAGGACACTCAGAAGCCAGGAGCTACATTTTATATAAACTAGTTCTCCTGAGTATCTGCAATAGTCACACCAGGCCAATTGACCTAGGTTAGATTTGCATCTAAAAGAAAAGTCAAAGTGTCTTCCCTTATTTTAAATTAAAATTAATAATAATGAAAAAGTCTAGCCAGAGAAGCAAGTTAGAAACTTAGAAGCTGCGATAGGTCTACTAAGCAGCCTGGGACTGCAAATCATTTTTACAATGGTGCAGAAGACACTTTTAGGTATTTGGTGGTTGCAGAGGTAGGAAGCAGTATGCCCTCAAAGTACTTCTCACTGCCAATCTGAATTGCTTCCCTCCTGTCATAAAATAATAGACAAATAAGGCTGGTAGGGCCTTTGAGGGTTTGGCTATGCTGTGTCAACAGCTGATCCTGGGGAAGAAAAGCTGAACGTACCATGCCCACCTGAATCCTTAGATGTACTCCAGACCTACAATTTCACCAGTGAAGCTGACCCAGACTTACTGTGAGTGCCCGCTCTTGAGTCTTTGGCCTCTGGTGCACCAGAGTTTGGTCATTAGAAATGGGCCCAGAGGAGCTTCACTGGCAGACTTCTAGGTCTGGAATATGTGAGTAAACTTGGGTGGCTAGGGGGACTGGAGCACCATCCCAGAGTGGGATGGGGGGCGTGGGGTGCCACAATGGTCACTTCCCAAGAAGTCTGTGATACTGATGATGCAACAGCCCAAGCTGTAGCTATAGCAGCAGCAGCAGCTAGGTGAAGACACTCCACACAACTGCTTCTGTAGCAGGAGCAGCAACATCCAAGGCCAGGCAACCCAGTCTATACAAGCAACACCTAGAGCAGTGGTCACCAACCAATGGATCTCGGTCCACCAGTAGGTCTCGGAGCCTCTTGGAGTTAATCTGAGGCTGGGGTGGGAGGCTGAGTGCCTGTGTGCATGCACTCACATGCCCCAGCCCAGCAGGTCAGTCCATGGGGGAGGGAAGTGGCAGGGGCTAGATCAAGGCCCCCGTGGTGAGGGAAAGTGCTGCAGAGGCAGGAGCAGATGCAAATGGAGTGGGGCCCCAGCCAGGTGAGACTTACCTCCTGGGGAGGTGCGCCCCCAAATAATTTTTTCTCCCTCTGCCTCAATCTGCCCTCCCTACAGATATACCTGCTGGGAGGCGCAGGGGGAGGGAGGGTGGCGGCAGTGCACAGTAGATCTTGGGTTGCTTTAAGTGCCAAAGGTGATCCCCTACTTAAAAAAGGTTGGAGACCACCGAACTAGAGACTTTGTGTCCCTGGGACCAAAAACAATGATCTTTCACCCCCACTCCCTCCCCAGTTCTCCCTTCCCTAGCAGGGTTCAGTCCAGGTCTCACCTGACACTGTCAGGGTTTTGTCTAGGGACTCATACCGTCCCCTATCCAGGCAGGGTTTTGCCTAGGGTTCAACATATGTACATCCCTCACCAGGGTTTTGCCCAATGCACAAAACCTGCTCATTATGCAGTTAGGTACCCTGAGCATGCCTTTCCCCATCCTCACTAGGACCAACAGATGAAGCAGCACAAATAAGCCCCTACAGATCATCTAATCCAACCTCCAGCTCACAGCAGGATTATCCCTGTATAAACTATCTTGTACAAACATTTATCTAACTTGCACTTATTTGGGGGAGGTTCAGTCACCTAGCTTTTACCCACCTTCCAAACTCCAACAGATTGTGGGGCTGCCAGTCAACTGCCATGGCATAATCAGACCAAAAAAGGAAGCACACAGCATCTCCGACAGTGGCTTCACATGAAAGTTGAACCATGGAGGACCATGATGCATTATAGATGACAGTTCTTACATTGGAGCAGCTTTCAGCATTCCATTCTTGGCTTCTTCATCAGGAAGTGAATGGAAAACATTGTTGGAGATTCCAGCCATGTTTCTAGGTCCTAGACTCATACCAGGAATACCTTGTATACTGCCTGCTTTCTGACTAGTGAATATTCCAGAGAAATCCACTTAAGTGCAAGAGAATGGGATATTACTGCTGTTTTGCCATTGACCTTGTCAATTAATTTATGTAATATAATAACATTTATAAACCTGTTATCTCATCTTTTGTCAGTTCTTCAACTGACAAAAGATGTCCATGGCTGCTCCCCAAATCCCTGGGAAGAAGAGGTACAAGGTGCCCTTCCCTTCTACCTTACATGTCTGTAGGATATAACAAAACCTGTAGCTAGAGCAGGGGCAGGCAATTATTGTGGGCAGAGGGCCACTTACTGAGTTTCGGCAAGCCATCGAGGGCTGCATGACAGGCAGCTCAGGGCAGATTAATATTAATTTTCTAAATTTTTTAGGGGCCCTGCAGGCCAGATAGAATGGCTTGGCAGGCCGCATCCAGCCCCCAGGCCGCATTTTGCCCACCCCTGAGCTAGAGACATAGCAGAGCAGTTTTGTGCCCAGGGCAGCCGCAGTGCACATGGCAATGCTTCTGCAGTGGTGCCAGTTGTAGCAGGACAATCAGCTGCCCCTATGGTAGTAGCTATTTTTGTATCCCCACACCCCCACAACAAAGGCAGTACTCAGGGCTGTTGCCCTGATCAGCCTCTTCCACCCCTGGTCACACTACTATCTAGAGATTTGTGCCTCCCTAAGGCAGTAAATATTCCCTCTATGCATCCTTCACAGTGGAAGACAGCCTAGAGAAGATAGGGCTACATATCTCTGTCTATCCCCATGAACCAAGAAAATATGCCCAGATACAACTGCAGATAACATGCTGCACTATCTAAAACAGTCTCTCAATTGGCGCACCCTGCCTATACTCTAGGGCAGAGCTTTCCAAACTTTTCATGTTGGTGACACACTTTTTAGACATGCATCATTTCGCGACACAGTAATTCAGTTCCGGGGGAGGGGCCAAGGGAAGCAGACGCGAGTAAGGGAGCTCCGCGGTGCCCTTCCGCAAAATTTTCTGCATTTCGCGCGACACACCTACACACTGCCGCCGACACACTAATGTGTCACGGCACACAGTTTGGAAAGCTCTGCTCTAGGGGAACTCAGCAAGAAATTCCTTCCAGAATTGCCCCTGGTGCAATATGGTTCCATGCTGCTCCCAACCAGAGGCTGTGCCTGACTCACACAATAATAGTCCAGTTTGATTAATCAATGCTGCTCCAGCAGCCAAAGTAAAATGAGCTCCATTGTACAAGTTTAGTAAGTTCTTTTATTCACTGTTTCAGGGTTACAGACACTAATTTCCACTGTCAGACAGTGTTTTTGGTTCAAAACTACAGTGAAAGGTGTTTTGCTTTTCTAAAACTGAGATTGATTAAATTCTGATTAAAGTCTGAAGTTTATTGGGAGGTGGGGGGAGAAGGGTCCCCTCAAAGGTACAGCAGCTGCGCAAGAGAACATTTCATCATAAAGAACAGGCTGATTCACTGTATTTCTCCTGAGTACAGATTGTTGTCTCCCCCACGCAGTCTCCATCAATTAGGAAAGAAATGTGAAAAACAGCACAGTATATGTCTGGTTGTGTGTATTTTGCAACAGACAATTTTGAAAGCTCCAGTCCTTCTCAAGGGATAGCCATAAGAAAAGACAGTGGGCCACACTTTAATATCAGGTGCACCTATAAAAATCCAGTAATTCCAATCTTACGGCAAGAAGAAAGGCTAAGTATTGGACATTCAGAGTCTCTTTTTCTGAGCCAAAAGCTGCTGAGAACCTTCCATTTTCAGGTCATTCTGTCTTTTGTCAATCATTAAACTACAAAAAGTAGTTTAGTAAGTAACAATAAGCTTGTGGTAAACCTCATGTTCTAGTGGGCTAAGTTGTGCCCCAGATTTAACCTATTACAGAAAGTTAATCTCAAACTAGTCCTGAATCTTCTGAGAGCTCAAGAGTAAGTATATCCATGAAAGCTATCCAGGCTCATTTGCTCAATCAACAGCCCCTAAATTGAAAAAAGAGGGTAAAACCAACCATCCGCTTAAGAAGTGGGTTTTCATCTCTCTTCCAACCCTTATTTTACTATATGTTGTATACTCAGTAAATGAAACCAGCAAGTAAAAGTTGCCTGAAACCAGAGTTTCATGTTTCAAATTCATGTTTAAAAGTTCCATGTTTCAAATTCCAAGTGAAATGTCAGGAGTAATTCATTCAAGAGATGGAATGGTCCCTGAGGAGCAGTGCAGCCCTCAGTTATAATAAGAATAATGAAATAAGCCCAGGAGATGTTTTTTTAAATATAGACAATGTAGAACAGTTACCAGAAAGATGCCACTGTACATCCTTTTCTGGATTCCATAATAAATTCCAATAAACAACACAGTAAGGATGTGTGTTAAGAGTCATTTGATTTTTCATCAATCAATGAGATTTTTGAACATTCAAATGGGAAGGGTGTTTCACTTTGCTTTGCTTTGCTTTTCAGTTGGTTCCTTCTGTGCCTGATCAAAGGAAATGAGCAGCTGAAAATGAATTAAGCCTTTGTACAAGTGCAGCCATTGTATAAAGTGGCTTGTCACACACACATCATGGAGAGAGATGCCCCAAAGAGAACATGTAGAAAACGAATTGCAGAGTCCTGTGAAAGGAAACTTATGAGAAGACAACATTAAGAAAGCAGTCTGAGCTGAACTTTTTATTGTTTTGTTCCTGTTTATGTTGATAAAGCCAAACTAGGAATGGCATAAATGTGTACTCCACATAATGTAAGTATTATATTCAAGAAATGGTGGCAAATTGTACGTGCTCATCTGTGACATCAGATGCTTTGTATGGCCCTTTAGTAAAGCAAGTATACAAGAGGAAAACGGAAACAATCCCTTTAGAGTCTAAGAGTGCGTGTAAACTAAACGAGGGGCATGTGTGCAGGACACTTTAAAGCAGGTTAAGTGCTTTTGCACCACTTAAATGGTGTTGGTGTTTGCATGTGTTAGCAGCATATTGCATATTAATTCCAGCCGCTTTAGCACATTTGGCGGCATAATGAGCCTTAAATGACTTTGGGGTGCAGCAAACTAAAACACCTCCAAGGAGTTTTAGTTTGCTGCCCTACAGCCATGGAGCAAATCACCGGGTTTTGTGTGGCTCAGGGACTGTGCAGCCAGCCAGTGCAGGCAGCCTGGCAGCAGCCCAGGAAAGCAGGCTCCACTGAAGGAAAAAAAAAAAAGTGGTGAGCCTGATCTTTTTTTTTCTTCTTCCCCCTGGAGCCTGCCTGCATAAGCTGTGCAGGGACCCAGCCCTTCCCTCCACAGCTGTGGTGCCTGCCAGGACTGCCCAAGCCGGGTGCCTATGGGTGGGTGATGCCTGGGGGAGGGCCGCTGCTGCTGTGGAGGGAAACACCAACCCCCTCCACCCCCAAAGCCCAGGGACTGTTCTGCCTGCCAGCAGCTCATCCTACCCTTCCTACCACTGGAGAGGCAGGTAAGACACAGGCTTCCATGACATGGGGGTTTGCTTAACCCTAAATTGAAGCGGTGTTTTTAAAAACCCACTGCTTCAATTTAGGGCTGCCATTTCATCTACACAAGGCCTAAGTGATCAACAGAAACAGCAACAGCAGACCAGGTCTAAGAGCAGGTCAAAAAGGAGAAGAGAGCCAAAGAGCAGGAATTACAAGACCTTACAGTGTCCCATCAGTATAGTCAGTCAAAAAAATAAGAACATTTTCGTCTTGAAAATAGTCGTAAAAAATTCAGCCATCCCCTTTTTAGTCAATATTGCAATGAACTTTTTGTCAGACTATTCAACAGTCAAATAAAATTGGCTAGTCTTTATCCAACATAAGAAATATATAGAGGAGTACATGTTCTAAAACTCCATTAACTTGGAGATATCACCTAGTCTTCAGTGAGTATCAACATTTCTCTCCTTTAGATGGGCCAGATTTACCAGATAACATATTTCCAGGAAACCATTGCTGCCTGATGAGAAGAATTCTGAGCTGCTTGTTTAATGCCTTCATTATCATGATCCCAAACTACATTGTGGTCCATGCATGAAAATGTTGCCACCAGTTGAGGCCAAAGCTGTCATCTTGGACTGGCTGAGATCTTGAAGCAGATATTACCCTCTTCACTTACAGCAGGTTAGGGATAACAAATAAAACAGTTGCCATGGATCAGCTGATAAATATTCCCAAATGATAAAGCCCCTTCTCTTTAAAAGATGCAATTGTACAAACTGTTCATGCCTTTGTTTAGGGCTATTGCAGTTGTTCAATTTGCATTTTATATGCAAGGCATCTCTGCGTTCAGAGGTATCTCAGAATGTTTTGTCCATTCCATTATCCCAGGTAAGCCTTAGAGCTTATAGTGCTGATCCTGTACCACCCCATAGCTGCCCTTGTCAGATGTGGAACAGAGGGGCATCAATAGGGAAAAATCTGGTTATGAAGGTCCTGTGCCTGACCAGATCCCTGCTGTAGCAAACCCTATTAGAATTCTGCCATTGAAGACCATCCCTGAAAGAACCACATCTTGCACCCGTAACTAAAACAATCTCTTTTCTCCTAGAACTGGAAAGGAAGAAGCAATTTACTTTCATTCCACATGCTGGCCCTATGAGTGAATTTGCTGTTTTGTTTAAGAAGATAATATAGTTTCTCAGTCTTACATAAACAGCAGTTTCATTCCAGAATTATACAGTAAGTATATCTATGCACAGCATATTAATATGTGGAAGCCTCATGTGACAGAGGGCCATCCCAGGGCTGGGTCTCATGTTGGCCCACCCACATGTCTAAGTAGGGCAGTCCGCCCAGTCTCTCCTGCCACGACTTGCTGGAATAGTAAACTGGCGTTCTAAATGGGAGGCTGCCCGTTATAATGCCCCAATGACAGGGGGCACTATCCATGGCTCTGTACTGACCCTACACCATGGCCCATGCCTTGCAGATGGTATTGTAAGTTCGTAATGGCTCCCACACTGGGCCTCATAATGTTCTAGTCTGGACTCCAACTAGATCCCTCATATTCAGGCGGTCTACTCCACCCTCATTCTGGGCTGCCAAGCTCCCTTCACTCTTCTCCCTCTCAGCAGTGGCCCACTCTGTGGGACCTTTGGCCACACAGACCCTGGCCTCACCTCTATGTCACTCAGAACCCCAGCCCCCTGGCTGTGGGCACTCTGGCCCTTTTGACCCTTCTGGTCATTGACCATTTGAGGGTGTCTTGAGTTAGGCTCCTAGCCCATTCTCTTTTATATAGATCCACCTTCTTGGGCCCTACTACAGGGTTACCCACCCAGTTGTGGGAGCTGGAATTTTAAGGCACCCCTTCTCACCTTTCACTGGTGAGGTTTAAAGTCTGGGTATTTGAATGACACTACCCCACCACCCCACCCTCTCCTGGAGGGAGAGAGTCCCTCCAGGCCTCTGTACCCCCAGCAGGGTGCCATTTTAGGTCATGCCCAGGACCAGGAGCCTCTTGCCATTCCCATAGTTCCTGCCCTTACCTCCAAGGTATTATGAGCAGCAGCTCAGCTGGGTGATATTGCTCCCCCAGCTGCAAGCAGCAAACTGCTGCCTCTGCCTGCCTTAAGTTTTAAAATGGCCACCTTAATCAAGAACCTGCCAGCTGCCTGCTCCAGCTCTAAAAGCACTGCCACACCTTGTATCTAATTTTTTTAGGAAAATACCATGTCCCAAACATATATTCTAGGCCCATTTTGATTTCTACAGAAAAAAAAATGACCATAAATTTAATGTCAGACATCTGATAAAACCTATAGTGTATTTGCAAGTGAAGTTCAAGGGACAAGTGAAACGGAGGAGTTTCATCTCTGTTTATTAATAAAGTATTCTTTCCTGGCTTCACTTATAATGCATAGATTGATGCTAAATATTTTATAAAACAGAATACATTACATAAAGACTATAAAGTAGATGTAAGAATATAGTTTACTTTCATTGTACTCATCTTAGAAACATTTATCCTAGTTTCTATTTGTGCATAGACATATGGAAAAACTGTAGCTCATAGATGATTTAAGAATGTTGTTCTCAGTTTGATGATTCATTTACTTTTGGTTCACCTATTTCCAAAAAGGCCTGAAGAAACATTCAGCTCCTGCTTTTGGGGGCCATAATTTTTGTGAAAAATCTCTCAATATGTATAAGAGATGTTTCCAAACAAGTTTTTGTTCTTATTCCTATTTAATGAAGCTTCTTTTCATCTTCTCATCCCAATAAAGGAAACTTACTGCCAAGATTATTCTTTTCATTCCCAATAAGGAGAGCATGATTTAGATTGTCTAGAGTACTGCTTACCTTTTGACTGGTTGTATCCAGATCTCAAATTTTGGAGCAAGAGAGGGAAACTTGTCATGTACCATCTCAAACTAAAGCAGCAAGAGGTCTGAAAGAAAAGGAAATTCCTCTTGTTAAATAGGTATAGTACTATTTAACTTCTGGTGATACTGTGCGCTGTGTGACAATGTTCTGTTTTAAAGATATAGTATTACTGGGTGCCAACAATTTAATTGTTTGCGTTCTTCATACCTCCGTTTCATTGACTTCAGTCGAGAGTTCTATTACACGTTGCAATGGGATCTCCTGGACATATACCAGAAAATATTAGTATATACCTTATGTCAGAGTCATTGAAGTCTTCAGTGGAAAGTGCACTTTGAGACACAAAAATATGACATAAAGCCCAAAGTCAACAGAAAGATTCCCATTAATTCTGTACATTTTGGATCAGGCATAAAGAAAAATGGAACATGCCATGCTCCTTTTTTACCTTCCTTAAAAAATTAAGGATAAATTCCTAAGGGTATTTAGGAACTTAAAGATGCAAATAGGCACAGAAGGAATTGGAAAATCCCAGTTAGTCAAATGTAAGTAGTTCAACATACATTTAAAAATCTGTGTCTTCTAGTACTGTCAGATGCATCATATAACACAATTTAGACTTAACAGTATTTCTTTTATGAAATGCACAAAACATTTGTTTTATAAAACAGCATGTGAAATGAATCTAGGCTATTAGTAGCTGGAAATGTATTTCTTTCTTTACAGTAACCTGGGAAATTATCTTCTTTATGTAATTGATTCTACTACTGTTTTTTTTACATTTTGGGCATATTTACATGACACTAGACTACCCTTCAGTCAGACTTTGATCTAGCTTTAAACTAGCTGGCTTAGGCACTGGAAACAGTATAGCTGCTGCAGCACAGAGCTCATAACCTTTTGTAGAAGCAGGAGGAATACTCAGGCAGTTAGCCATGCTGATTCAATGTTACCATGGCTGCACTGCTACCTGAACCAGACTTAGCTAGTTTAAACCTAGCTTGTGCGTATGTCTATGATGTGCTGCAGTCACTGCAGTGTAATGCAGTGTAGCCATACCCAACTGTACTTGAACTATATTTCATGTCAAGGAAGACTCGACTCATTCTTTTTATGTAAAAGGAACAAACCTTCCGTATATGCCCAGAATGAAGACAAAACAAACTACTATGCTGAAAGAGAGAGCGAGCTGAAATGGATTTTAATTCAGTGCTGACTGTACCATCGTATTATGTAGAACAACATGCACAAGGGGTTTAATCTGGCATTATGTAACACAGTTTAACACAGCAAAACTGGCTGAGAACAGAAGCTGAGTTTTGTAGTAACAGCTGCTGATATTAAAGACTGATCAAACACTCATTGCTGTTGGCTTAGAAATGGTATTTAATGGCCTGTTTTTTGGGAATTGGCTTATAGGTATAGATATCTGCATTATAAGGGGTCAAGATGGGTGGCAGGGGTTAATGGATTTCTAAAGAGTTTGGGAGACACACACACACAGCTTCTCATGGCCCTGGGAGTAGAAGGCTGTCTAGCACAAGGCCAACAGATTGACACAGCCTGAGAATGAAGGGGGGCACGCTATAACATAAGATCACAGCCTTCAAGGCAGACAAGTTGTCTAACACAACAAGGACACACAGCCTGGGAACCAAAGAAGTATGTACCATACTGTCCCATAACACAAGATAAGTGACACCAGCAACAAGGCCTCAATGAGCAGGGGGGCCTAAGTCCCTGTTTCCCCATTTTGGGGAAACAGACCAAATTAGAAGAAGGCCCAGAAGGCTACATGGACAAGTGACCACAGAGAGAGAACCAACCAGAAAGAGCCATGAATGAAGAGTCATGAGGAGTCATCAATGGGGAAGGAACAAAAGGAGAAATTTGAGATTAACAAAGGGTCCCTCCCTCTTTCTTCTCATCTCAGCCTTTGTCCTATCCCTCCCCATTTTGCTCCCTAAGAGGGGTCCCGATCTCTTGGGAAGGGTCCCCAAGCCTGCCATGGACAGAGGGCATACACCAGCAACCTGTCTCATGCACCCCACTGGAGGGGGGCTGTGGACCTCAGCATCCCAACTCCAGACTGCTGACACTTAAGAGAGCCTCATAGTGGAGCCTGCATCCTGACGAGATGTACTTTAACTCTGATGACAGCCCCAGGATTGGTAGATATAGAATTGTTTGTATTGTTGATTTTTTGTTCTTACTCTGTATCAATAAATTCACCTATTTTTGACTGGCAGGTGTTGTGGTCGGTCTGAGAGTTGTGCCTGCCCGAAACAAAGATATAGGTGCTGGGTCCAAATCCAGTGTCAACAATTACCAGTCACTTCATGCAGGGTTTCAGTATCTATCCTATGAAATGTGAGGCACTTAATAATATAGTTAGCTGTCTCCATTAAATGACATATAAAAACTTTGATTATTTGATACGCATATCAAATAATCAGTGACTCTCTACATGATTAGATCAGGGGGTGGCAAACTTGTCGTGATGGGTGGTTGCTTGTAACCCAGCCCTCACTGCAGTCCATACACTGTCCTTCCCAGAAATCAGCAGATTCTGCAAAGGGAATAGCTGCAAAGATAGATAGATTCTGCAAAGGTAGGTGCCCTGCTGATGCATCCCCTGCTGCAGTGGCAAGAGTAAACTGAACATGGCAGGCAAAAAGACCTTGAGGACACCTCCTTTGCCACTGTGGATAGAGTCCGCTGTCAGTTCCCTGAGCTACTGAGGATAGGCAGCATCCAGACTATTCACAAGTCAGATCTGATCTACGGGCTATAGGTTGATGACCTCCGAACTAGATAATAAAGATAATGTTGAATTTCACAGTGAAAGAAGATTAAAATGCCTTTATTTTTCATTTTCTAATAACCGAATTTAGTGTTCAAGTCACTGTGCTTGGTTCAGTTGATTTTTTTTTCAATAATTACTGGTGAGGATTATTCATGTATTCGTTTGTGGACAATTACATTGTCAAACATTTTAAACACATGACATCTTTCTGAAATTCACTGCAAAACTATATAGGGGAATTTCCAAAAGGGCTCAGTGTTTATCAAACTCTGCTCCCAGAGATATCAATCATACAACCCCAACTGAATAATAGACACATCATTAGCTAACACCAGGTTACACCCATAATGGTTTTGTCAGATTCCTCTAGCTAAAAAAAATATAAAAAAATTAAAATAGAGTGATTCCATACTATCCATACCGGGGCATTCCAATATATCAAACACAAAAAGAATTATTCTTCACAAATTATCTTACCTTTTCAAGGAGAGGCCAATGATACAATTTCAACATGAGCAATTATCAGGTAATGAAATTGACCTATCTATTTTGTAGGAAGATAGATATATCTGAGATCTTTGTCATGTATTCTCATTGCACCTATTATGTAATAAATGCAACATTTGGCAGAGGACAGTGATCAGAACGTGAGAAATTAAGAACATCCTGAAAAAGAAAATATCTGCAGAAAAAATCCCATTGACAGTAAACTGAAGAAGATCATAGGCTAGAGAGAGAGGAAATGAAACATTTTGCACAAGTTATATAGCATGTTATCCTATGCTGCACTTAGATATACCATAGTAAATATTAAGAATAGTTTCATAAGCATATTTTAATCACTAAGTTAATTTCATTAATTTCAGCAGTATTAACTAGGGGCCATTTGGATCAATTATAAGGCTTGCGCCTCTCACAGGCGATCTTGGGAAACCATCCACTGGAAATAATACCATTACCTAAACACTGTAAAAACCTCCCAGTTAAAAAGAGGACTGTATTCATGTGTATCAAACATGCTCTCCCCTATTGCTTAATAAACCTTACTAGTAACCAATTTAGAAACAAAGGGCATTCTATGGGCTGGTCAGGACATATGATCCTACACACTAGGGTTTCTTTCTTTTCTGGCTATGCCTGAATAACCTTATGAATTTAGAGTTTGAGTAGCACAAGTTGTCTAACAAAAGTTCAGTTACTCATGAATAATTTGTTTTTAAATGTGTATGTGAAGAAAACAGTTCAACACAAGGCTTTTTGTATTAAAGCCATCTGTGAGTCATGGTATCATCATGCATGATATAGGGTCATTATATGAGAGCAGTAGTGCATGAAACTGCATGGGAACAGCGTATGAAAGGCCACCTTCAAGATAACGTGCATAGTTCCCGGCAATGATAATTTAATAGATTTTCAGGAGTTGTGGTGTGTTTACAAGAGCTGAGCTCCATTATCTTTTCTACAAATATACTCATATGCAATGCTTTGAGTATTATAAAGGTTTTATTAACATAAGTTTAGAAGGAGTGTATTATTCATGAATGATGAAGAAGTGCGAGTTAAGCGAAGTAGATAGACTTTTCAAAGCACCCTTCCAGGTACCCCTCTATGTGTGGCATGTATGTTGCAAAAAAGTTATTTAGAGAGACTGTAGAGTGTTTATTAAACATGTATTGGAATTAGTTTTGTTATCCTGCTGCCTACAAAGGGAAGTACATTAATTATTATGAATGAAGTCTTGTTCTAATTGCAGTCAAAGCTAAAATTTCCATTAATTTCCATGGCAGCAGAATCTCACCAAGGATTCCAACTATTCATCAGCCTAATGGGGAAATTATATACAGAGGTGTAACAACACAGTCAGACATCAGGGGCAGCTAAGACACATGGGAGCAGCAGCCACTTCTGGCTGCTGCTGTGTCATTGGCCACATCCCTAAGCAAGCACCCAGGACACCTGCCTTGGTTGTGCCACCCTAGTTGTGCTGGTTATATATATCTACAAAAAAAACTTAACTAAAAGGTTTTTTTATAAGTGAAAAATGTCAGAGATAAAATGCATTCTCTCAATCCTAGAATCAGGGTGCATAAAGAAGATATACTTAACATATTTGTTCTTCTGAGTCACGTACTAGACTTCACTCAGTCAAATCCCAGAGGGGGAACCCAAATTTTTCACTTACATTAACATGTTCTGAATGGTCTGGACTTGGAACTTATTTTAGTCAACTATAAAAAGTAATGACATAAGGACAAAGA